CCCAGACATCCCACACCAGGACACCCCTGTGCCCGCCTCTGCTGTGGGGACACCCCCCAAATGGGGATCTCCTTCCAGCTCCCCAAGGGGGGACCCCTCTCAAGGGGACTTCTTCCAAGGACACCCACAACCACCTCTCCTGTGGGGACACCCCCCAAATGGGGACCTCCTTTCAGCTCCCCAAGGTGGGGGGGGGACACACCTTTGGCCACCTCTTCAAATGGGGGACCCCTCTCAAGGGGAGTTCTTCCAGGGGGACCCTTGTGCACCTCTCCCATGGGGACAACTCCAAATGGGGATCTCTTTCCATCTCTTTGAGGGGGGGGGAACCCTTGGCTAACTCTCCTGGGGGACCCCTCAAGAAGGGGACTTCTTCCAGGGAGGGTTGACTTCTGTCCACCTCTCCCATGGGGATGTCTCCAAACGGGAATCTCCTTTTACCTCCCCGAGGAGGGGACCCGTACCCACCTCTCCTGGGGGATGCGTCTTCCAGAGGGGGGGCACCCCTGCCCACCTCTCTTTTGGATGTCTCCATAGGGGGGACCTCTTCTGTCCCCCCAAATGGGACCCTCTGGCCTCTCTCAGGGGGACATCTCCAAATGGGGGGAGCTCCTTCTACCTCTTCGTGGGGACTTCCTCCAAAGGGATTCTCTCCAAGAGGGACTTGTATCCACCTCTCCGAGGAGATCCTCTACAAACGGGGGACCCTCTCCCACCTCTTCAAATAGGGCACCCCCTCCAAAGAGACCCCTTTTACCTCTTTAAAGGGCACACCTCCAAACGGGAAGATCCCTTCTGCCTCTCCAGGAAAGGACCTTCCAAGGGGGGACCCCACTCTAAAAGGGGACCCCTCCGATAGCTCCTCTCCACCCTGACACCCCCCCCCGCCTCCTCCAGGCTTCCTGATCTCCAAGTGCTGCTTGCCCATCTTCAAAGCCAAGACTGGCAAAGCCAAGCGGGTCCGGACCATCTTCACCAGTGACCAGCTGGCCCGGCTGGAGAAGGAGTTTGCGCGGCAGCAGTACATGGTGGGCACGGAGAGGTGCCTGCTCGCCTCCTCCCTGCACCTCACTGAAGAGCAGGTAGGATCCACCATGCTCCATCTCCATCTGCCCCCCCCAGCAGCTCCAGGGAGGCTCCCAAACCTGTGTGCCAATGGGTGGGACCTGGAACAGGAGCCCTGTGGGGCAGTCATTGCAGATAATTTACATTAAAAGGGTGGAGGATCACAGATAGGGAAACTGAGTCGCAAAGCGGCTGTCCCAGGGTGACGTGGAGCGGTTTAACTTGTGACCAGCTTAAGGCTGGATCTTCTCCACCGCTGGCAGGTCCCAGCTCAGCTCCTGGTTTGCAGGGCACAGTTTTTCATCTCGGTGGGGACAGATCGTGGCAGGGGACATCTGTCCTGGTCAGCCAGGGACTGTTGGAGGCTGTGGGCACCTAAGGGGTTGTGGAGTATCTGGGCACTGCCTGAGCCACGGGGGTTTAGGAAACCATGAGTCCATGGAAAAGCCAGGTTTGAAAGCTAAGCTTTATCTCTTCCTCAGGTGAAAGTCTGGTTCCAAAACCGGCGGATCAAGTGGAGGAAACAAAGCCTGGAACAGCAACAAGCCAAACTGGCCAAAATGGGTTTGGCCACCCCGCAGAGGAGCCCCGACTCGCAGAGCCACCACGGCGAAGAGGACAAGGACTTCCCAGCAGAGTCGGAGGACGGCCAGGAGGACACGGCCTCCTCCCCCAGCTCAGGGACAGCACCTGCACAGACTGTGACAAAAAGCTGCTGAATCGCCCCTTCGGGCCGCTTTTCCATGTGTATTATATGAATGTATCATATCTAATATATACAGGGCACCAATTATTTTTGCAGTGCAAAAATAAATTATTTATGCTACTCTTGGGCTCATCTTTTCACTAGGAGAAGGAGGAACACCACATGCCTGCAGTGGCAGCACGCATTCAGTGGGGGCTTGTTCATGGAAGCAAGCCCTGGAGGTCTGGGGGAATGGGGGGTCACCTGCACACCCCACCCATGATCAGCCCCATAGCCAGGCTCATCCCAAAGGCACTGGGTGTTCAGATACCTCCTTGTGCTCTAAAATAGTTCGGGACCTTCACAGAGCCCAGGTCCTTGTAGGGAACCTCCATCTCATGGTCCATCCTTCTCCATCTTCCCACCAGCAGCATCTTCACCGTAACAGCCCGACCCAGTGATGGCATCCTGCTCTCTGGGGCTTTTGGAGCAAGGAAAGTAGGGAAAACGCACCTGGAGAGCAGAGCTGGTGGTGGCTTTGCGAGCTGGGCACCTGGGGTGCTGTCTCAGCTGGGCAAGGATTAGCCAGGTTTTAATTTTAACTGCTTGACCCTGCTTAGGCAGATGTGGAGGTTTCAAATCCAGCTGGTTTTGGCTGGACACTGGCCTGCAGATGAGCCATGGATGGGCTCTGTGGGGAGCTGGGGATCTTCTTGCAAGGATGCAAAGCAAGTGAGTGCCACTGGTCCTGGACCTCCTAGATAAGAGCAGAAATGGGGACATCTGGGTGCTTGCTGGGGTAGCACCCACTCCTGCTAACTGTATTTTCTCCATGTCTGCTCTGGGCTTGGGGCTGGAGGAAGAAGGGACCCAGGTGGAGGGTTTATTTGAGCAGGTGTGAAACCTGATGCAAGGAGAAGGGGGACAATGCAAGGAGAGGGGGGACAATTAAGGTGGGGATGGTGCAAAGAAGGGGACAGTGCAAGGAGAAAGAAGGGGGACGATGCAAAGAGAGGGGATGAAGCAAAGAGAAGGGGATGAAGCAAAGAGAAGGGGATGATGCAAGGAGAGGGGACAGTGCAAGGAGAAGGAGATGATGCCAGGAGAGGGGACAATGCCAGGAGAAAGGGATGGTGCGTGGAGAGGGGGAATGATGCCAGGAGAGGGGGACAGTGCAAGAAGGGGACAATATAAAAAGGGGACGATGCAAGGAGAAGGGGACGATGCAAGGAGAAGGGGACAGTGCAAGGAGAAGGGGATGGTGCCAGGAGAAGGGGACGATGTGATGGAAGCTGCCCTTTGTTCCAGCTGTTTTCAGAGCCAGGATTAGCCGGCTGGTCTCAAAGAGCCCAAACTGTGCTAATGTCTTCACATGTCTGCTGAGAGCCCAGGCTGCGCCGGTGGGTTTAACCCGCTAATCTCGCATGCCGGTGGGTTTATTGCAATCATCCCCGAGACAACAGGGCTTACGGGGGATGTTTTAATATCGCCCGGCCGGGGGCCAAGCTGATTGCAAGAGTTAACTTGTTCTCAGGACACCTTTAATCCCCTGGGAGCTGGCAGCGCTCAGCCTCGGGTAGGATTGGACCTTTTCCACGGTGCTGGGCTCCTCCAGGGCAGGCAGCGGGGGATCCGTCGCGCTCCGGGGGATGCTCCTGCAGGGTCTGGCCAGCTCAGACCCCTGTGCGGGCAGTGTCTGTCCAGGGAAATGACTTTTTAATTAAAACTGCTGGGCTTGATTGAGTTTTTCAAAAAGTGACTTTTATATGAGATGAATTAAACCACATCCATGCCTTTAGCACCTTGGGCTTTGACCAGGAGGCTTTTCTCATGGTGGGTGATAATCCTTGAGGGGGTGGCCGGTCCCTGGGGGTGCATGGGGGGCTCAGGATGCTTGTGTTCCCTTTCCTACCTGCCAAGGGACAGCAGGTGCCGAGGAAGGCCATCCCCTGTCTTCCTCTCACCCAGTGATTAACCTGTTTGCAGGTTCCTTAGGATGGGGAAGGAAGCATATATACAGGACAAAGCAGCCGATTACTGGGGATGAGAAGAGCCAAACATGCTGGTCTGACCCTGATAATGGGATGGAGTTGATGGTTTGCAGAAAAGCTGGATTCAGCTGGGTCATTGTATGCCTTCCCAAACCCCTGCCAACCCTGTAAAGGGGGTAGAAATGCAGCTTCCTTCTCCCATCGGAGACATCTCCCTTCCCAGTCCAGGGTGAAGGTCTTGCAGCTCAGCCCAGCTCCTGGAAGCTCGACCGGGGCACATGTATTGGGCTCAAACCTGGGCACAGCAATTTGGCACCGTGGAAAATAAAGGAGAGAGATGCTGTGAGAGCTTTGCAATGTCTTGGGCTGGATCAACCCACCTGGGACAGAGCCTTGGCTCCTCTCATGCACCAGGAAAGCCTGTGCAAAATAAGAGCTGTGTGTCCTTACCCGAACCCCACATGCACCCCAAAAACTGTGCTAGTCCCTTCCCAATCCTGTGTAGTATCACATCACTGTCTTAAAGATGCTGTTTTTTTCACCTATCTGCAAAAAACAAGTTGGCTTTCAGTGACAGATAATTGTAAGGAAGTGAGAATTAAGCAGCCTTATTAAGAGGATAGTGGTTATCTGCTAAAGTACAGTGCTGAGCCCTCCCCAGCAAATCTCCGCTCTGCAGATAAGTAGGCAGCTTGTAGGAGGACAGGTAGGTTGTGAGATGGGTGGGTGGATGTATTAGGGTGGACTATTTGCCCAGAGGAACAGCCTGGGCTGCATGTGGATAAGATGGATGAGTGGATGATTGGGGATGAATGCAGGGTGCTGGCGAATAGGTGCAAATGGATGGCTGGGTAAATGGGATGGGATAGGAGAGGAAAGGAGAGATAGGAGAAGGGATGACCCGGTGGAGCTGTAGCATACAGCTCCTCTGTGTCCCCCTCCCTGCTCTCCTTCCTGCCAGGATTATTCCTGCTGAGCACATGGCGACGGACGTGATTTGTTTGCACGAGTCGCGTTTACTCAGGATGGTAGAAGTTTGCAGGACAGGGTGTTTGGATGCTGGAGCAGCAGGACCCCTCCATCCCCCCCCAATCCCCGTGACCCAGCTGCTTTCCCAGGCGCCTTTTGCATCCCTTCCCCGAACTGGGAGCCCCATTCTCCTCAGCTGATTGCCCCCCCGTGCTCTCTTTTCAGGGGGGGTTTGCTAAATGGGATTACCAGGTGCTGGGGTGGGCAACCTGCCGGCGGCAGAGGTTCAAGGCAAAGCCCGACCCAAGCCGGGATGCAGGGCGCCGGGGTCGGCCGTGCGTGTTTCCAGGCTCCGTCTCGTCATGTAATCTTGTTAAATGGTCAGGGAGCATTTCCCCCTGCTTCTCCCTGCCCTTTAATTCCTGATTGAAACATCAAATAAGCTTCCCAAGGCTGCCAGGCAGCTCTGATGGTTCCATGCTGCCCGGTTGCAGTGGAAATAAAAAAAGACTTCATGAGCAATGGGAGGAAATGCCATGACATCCCATCTTTTGCAGTCTTTCTGGGATGAATTTGCCCCAAGTTGCCTTGCTCAGCCAAAGAGCAAAGGCACCGATTCTTTGCATTAAACTCTCAGCTGGAAGTAGCTCCTGGATACATGAAAATGAGGGTGAAACAGGGTGACCTGCCTGGAAATGCAGCGGGGAAACTGGGCGCCTAAGGAGACCCCTCATACGGGGTGAGCATTGCAGTGGCCAAAATATCTGGGTTTTAAAATCCCAGGTTTAAAAGGTGTTTATCCTGCAGCAAGAAACACAGGGCTGTGGAGCAGGACCATGCTGTCAGAGCGAGAGCAAGCAGTGCCATGTCTAAATCCTGCATTGGGCTGTGCAGGGTGGTTCGAGGTCTGCTAAGGGAATGCCATCAGCCCTGGTCTGGGTTTGCCATGGGGCACATCAACTCATATAGCTGCTGGTGCTCACCCCACAGCACCCTGCATCCTGCTCCTTGCTCCTTCCTCACCTCCCATCTCAGTCTCAAAAATGGAAAGACTGGGAAGAAATCCCTCCCCAGCTCTGCTCCCAGCCATGCACATGGCAGGGCCTGCCAGAAACCAGTTTTCACCAGTGGTGAAACAAGCTGTTAAGATAAAGAGAAAAAAATTATGAAAATCGCACCATGTCCCCCTTTGCAAATGGTTTGTGGCACAAAATCCCTGCAGCACTGCCACCCCAGCATGGTTGGGTGTACCGGGGGCCCTGGCACCAGACACCCTCTGCAACCGTGTGATTTTATTTTAAAAGGTTGATTAAATCATTAAATCAGGTAAACCCTGATGGTATGGGATGAATAAGGGGATCTCGTCAGGAGGTGCGGGACTGACAGTCAGATAAAGTGCTCCCCAACTCTGCCAAAACCTCCTCCCGGCACTTAGGCTGTGATGCTCTTGTGCCTCAGTTTCCCCAGCTGCAGGAACTGGGTAAGTACAGCCTTGGACACGTGTGGTATCGGCTCGACTCCTGCTTATCCGGGCCGGGTCTGATCCCACTCCCACTCAGCACCCCTGCCGAGAGCCGAGCAGGATCCGACCCTTGCTCTGCCCCATCCTTCCCCCACTCCATCTCTATTGATTTAATAAGATGGAGAGGAATTAACGGGGCCGGAGCATTGGAATAATGAAAGATGAACAAAGGGGCAGCACTAGCAAAGATGCTGCCAGCTTTTAATGATGAGGCCAGGCAGATCCCCTGCTAGCTGTCCCTTTGGAGTGGCGATTAAGAACATACTGTTATTGTTAAGGCAGAGAGATAAATCCCTGCACCGTTTCTGATGTGATCAGCCAGGGCTTCTCCCTACAATTTGTGATCCTATTGTGGACGGTGTTTGCCCTGGGCAAGGAGAGTCTGGGAACCACTTATGAACCATCCTTTGGTCATTAGTCTCCTCATTAGGAGAGAACAATGTGGGGGAAAAAAGATAATTGAAGGGAGCAGCGGGCTGATCGTGCACTCGGGCCTGTACCAGGGCTGCCTCAATGCTTAGTTTGTTTATAATTCCCAATTAATTTTAAATGTGTGGTTTCGGGATGCTCTCAATACCTGCAACTGCAACCCCTGTGAACAGGGTGCTCAGGTCTGTGCTTGACGGGAGGACAACGGAGCATCCTCCGAGGCCTTGCGGGTGGTTATTAGCTTATTTTTTGGGGGTCACCCAGACTTTGCCGTCGGCTGGGTGTACCCCCATCGTGGACTCAACCCCTGGACTCAACCCATGTTGTATTTGGAGGGACCCCAGGCAAGGAGGACGGGCCCCCCGCACCCGGGGAGGGTGAGGGTGGTGGGATGCAGCGGGTCCCACTCCCTCATTTCACATCTGGCTGAGATACGAGGCCAGATGTGACACCGAAGGGTGGGACATCGAGGAACAGACCCGCTTGGATCGGGACAGCATCTCCTCACCGAAAAGCTGGGGCAGAATCCAGCCCTGCTGAGCCTCACTGCAGCGTGGGGATTAATTCAGATTTTGCCTGGAAATACCAGCCTGGGCGACAAATCACAGGAAAGCCCCGAGGCTGTGGGGGGAGAGGTGCTTTGCCCCACAACCTTGGCAATGGAGTAATAAGAGGAGCAGGTCCTTGTCCCCGTCCCCAGGGACACCCTGCCCGGGCTGGGTGCAGGGCTCCGTGCCCCGGGGAGGAGGTGGAAGAGCCGCAATTCCTCAGGATGCTTGATATTATCAAGTGCTAATGAGACCTGGATGGGACTGAGGTGCTTTGCAGGCCATTATCCCAAATTAACCTGACAATGCAGCCGGGGCCAGTGTCTGAAGGGCGGCTGGGGTGTGTATTGGCCGTCTGGGGCTGGGGGGAGAGAAGGGTGCTGCCCTCTGCCTTCCTCCCCCCCTGCCCGCACCCCCGAGCTGAAAGCAAGAGCCTTGCGTTTTGCAGGGTTAGTTTTCCATTGCCTGAACGTGTTGAACCGGCCCCCCGAGAGAGGTTTGACAAGCAAGAGGTGGAATAAGGTGATAGGGATGGAGAGGATGGGAGCGGTCTCCTGCGCTGGCCAGCGTTTGGGATAAAATTCTTGGAGGAAACTCCTAGTTCCCAAGTCCTTGTGTCCATCCCATGCTGCTACTTGCACGGGGCTTTCACCAGTGCTTGGGCAGTGGATCAAACTGGGGAGCGCTCAGCTGAAAAGTAACCATGATCTCCGAAAAAGCATCTCCCTGGAGCCGGTGGCCATCCCTGTGCTGGGGTCTCACAGGGGGATGCATGGGGCTGGCCGTGCTCTTGTCACCCGCAACCAGGGCTCCCATTGCTGTATAACGCCCTCAAAGAGCAAACGGTGCCGTGTCATCGCTCCTGGCCTCAGCCCAGTTTGGGTCTGTTAATGGGACCTTGCAAGGTGCCGAGGATCCAGAAGGCAAAAGTGAACTGTGGCCGGATCCTGCTGCAAACAGGAGAGACGGGGTTTGCCAAGAGCGATCAACACCAGCACCTTGATCTGGAGCTCTCTGCAGCTCCCCAGCACCTCGCTGAAGGTGGTGAAGCCAAGGCAGGATGGCACCCGGCGCTGCTGGGTGCTCCTTGAGCAAAGAGCATGCACAGTAACTACCGTTAGCCTGAGTAATTTATCTTTTCTAGACTTTATGTTGAAGGAATGAACACGCATCAGTTATCCTCTGAGGTGTCTCCACTTTTTGCAGGGAAGATGAATCCCCATTCCCCTCTTCCTACAGGATTCACTGGGATCTGGCTTGGGAAGGGGCAAATCACCAGCTCCAGGAGCCGCGTGATTTGGAGACATTCCCCGTTGCCTTTTTATTATCAGATTATGGATTATTATTTATTATTATGGATTACCACAGGACAAATGGCTGCAAAAAACTGACACAAGGCTAAAAGCTAAAGCTGGTGTTCAGCATCCCATTTTTTAAGCTAATTTTTTTTTTGGAGAGTAAAAGGCATGAGCTCATGATTTCAGACTCCTTACATTGGCGGTGCTGCGCTAGTTATCCTAATGAGCGCAAGCACACGCCTGTCTAATCAGCAACAGGAGCCCTGGGATCCATCTTCTCCCTAATAGGATGCGACTGGAAGGATGCTGTCGGTCGAGAAGATGTTTTCCCACTTGCAGAAGGACTCACGTCCCGGATTACTGATGCACAAAATCCCCATCACGTTTTCGCGTGTGCTTGCTGTGGGTTTGGGGAAATTTCCGCCACTTCTTTCGCCCGCTGGGATGGTTTTGCGGCTCGGAGAGGGATGGAAATGGAGCCAGGCTCTCCCCACTGACGGAGGCGAGGTGTGAAATTTCTCATGGGCAAACAAGTGAGAGCTGCGGGGTGCCCAGAAGAAGGGGGACAGAAAAGATGAAGGGGGGGGGGCGAAGGAGGAGAAAAAGCAGCAGCCAGAGAGAAACAAAAATCCCCAAAGCAGCAACCTGGTTTGAAGAGTGGGGCGTTTTCTATGAGGGGATTGTAAAATGCACTCTCTCTTTCCCCTTTGCAGGGGGGAATAAGGGCCCCCACTCTATCTGATAGTCATTAGCATCAATTAGCCCCGTTTGAAGTAGGCAACATCTTTGTCTCTTTGCAAAAAAAGAAATAAAAAAACCTTTCAGGGAGCCCATAATAACATCTGGAGCAAGGAGAGGCTGAACTCAAGTTCCCCACTTTCATCTCTTGTCGAGGTACTTGGAATGTTAATGCAGCCTCATTCTTTAATGGAGTTATCAGGAAATGCTTTTCACCTCCTTCCCTTTGCTCAGGGGGGATGTTTACAAAGGGCTGGGGGCTTTTTTTGTTGTTTTGTTGTTGGGATTCCCCCCCCAAGAAAATCCCCCTCCCCTTTTATTTTCTATGCTCTTGAGAAACAAAACTGGAATAAAATTAAAAAAAAAAACCCAAACACCGAAACCCCACTACCAAACAAAAAAAAAAAAAAAGAGGATCAGGGCCCATCCTTTCATCTCCCCTGTCCAGCTCCTGCAAAAGCCCCCTTTGCTGGGAGCAGATGGGGTGGTTCAACCCCGTGTGGGCAGGGGGAGGCGGGGGGTTCCCCCGGCCCTGAGCCCCCGCTCTGCCTGGCTGCTGGGTGCTATATTTCCCAAGTCATTACCAGCGAGTGAAAATTTCCAGCTTTCGAACCAAAATGCATTAGCTGAGCACACAGTACTAATGGGAAACAGGACGCGTCATTAGGCAGCGAATTCGGCCAAGTGGGAGAAGGCGAAGGGAAAAGTCAGCCGGTGCTTTTGCTGGTTGTCCGTCCCTCCGGCTTGCTGTCCGTCCGTCTGTCCATCCTTCCTGCCAGCAGCATCTCACCGTAACCTCCCGCTCTGCCCACAGCTCGCCTGCCCCAACAACCGCCATGTAAAACTGCTCCCTTGATAACTCCTTGTTGGAGCATCTCCAACATCTCTTTCCACAGGAATTACAGTGGCAGTCACAACTTAGGATGAAGAGGGAAAATAATCAAGAGATTTAAACAGGCTTTTAATAAAACAAATCAAAAACTTGTATAACGACACCCATATTTTAATCCACACAACCTCTGTGCAAGCAAAGCCAGAAGCTGTGAATCTCTGTGGGTTTTTTTTCTCAGTAGCGGCTTTTTTTTGGGGGGGGGAGAGGCTTCGGCACTTGCCCAGCTTTGAACGTGTGATTTCAATTAAGCACATAGTTACACGGCGGCAGGATTGGGGCTGGCTGTTTGGATAAGGAGCAATAAAGCGGCAGCTGTATTTATTCACTTATTTTGAAGCTGCTGTGGAAGACAGGATGCTAAATGGCACGAAAAAAGTGTTTTGAAGGCAAACTTGAGGGACTCTTTTGTCTCCTGCGGGCATCCTCTTCCCCAAGGTTCCCGTAGCCATCACCAGGGTGCTCCCTCACGAGCAGGATAATCCTGCCCATGCATTCCCATAATTTCCATTTGCTTTGAAATGCTCAAAAACATAGAGATGCTCATTTATAACCAGGTCTATTTCTACGGCTTGGGCAGTGAAAAGAGACTTTAAATGGCACGAATCCCTGAGTTAAGGCAGGATTTACGGGATACGGAGAGCTAGCCTGTGCACGCAGAGATGTTTAATGCTGGGTTATTAAACCATGGGGGATTTTTGGTCTGTGTTTATTAACCTGGAGACTTCGGTCTGGGGATTTCTCCATGGTTGCGTACACCGGACTGAATTTTCAGCGTTAATTCGGTGCTTGTGGAGATTTGAGCAGGAACGGTTGCGTTTGCACAGGGCTGCGAATCCCCGGCGTTGTGTTTGCTGAGTACGCTCACATCTGGGCAAGGTGTCTGTGCCATGCGCAGCTCTCCATCGCATCGGACCATGTGTCTGTGCTTGGCTCATGGGGATGGCACCCAAACCAGACAAACAGCTAAATTTCCAAAGTACAGTCGCCTTTTAGCCTGTGCGAGCTCCTGATGTGTTTTTTCCCATACCCCAGATATACATCCAGGCTCTGATACAGCCGAGCAGGTACACCCGGACACGTTCCCCTTGGCAGGACGGGCTCGCACAGCCGGTCCCGGGGTACGTCGGTGACCGTGGGCAGTGGGTAGGGGTGGGCTGGCCTGAGGAACATGGCCAGGGGGATGGCGTGGGTGCTCCTGTGAGGCCTGGGGGGAAAGCGTGGGTGTCGGGGGGGTTTGGGTGTCAGGGGGGGTCAGGGTGGGGAGCTGTAGGTGTCCATGTGGGTGTCCACGGGGGAAGGTGAGGGTGCCGGCGAGGCTGTGGTGGGGAAGTTGTAGTTGGCTGTGAGGAAGGGAGGAGGTGTCTGGTGGAAGGAGCAATTGTCCACGTGGGCGTCTGTCTGTAGTGGGTGTTGGTGTGGGTGTCCACGGAGCAGGAGAAGGTGTCCACGGGGAAGGAGCGGGTGTTGGTGTGGGTGTCCACAGGAAAGGAGCGGGTGTTGGTGCGGGTGTCCACGGAGTAGGAGAAGGTGTCCACGGGAAAGGAGCGGGTGTCAGTGTGGGTGTCTGCGGGGAAGGAGTTTGGGTGTCGGTTCGGGAGTCTGTGAGGAAGGAGCGGGTGTCCGTGTGGGGGTCCATACGGGTGTCCAGGTGGGTGTCAGTGGAGGTGCCAGCAGAGAAGGAGGGGTGTCCGCGGGGGTGTTGGCGTGGAA